TTCGTATGGTTTCTTCCATAAAATAAAAGACACATTTTTCACTTTCACCAGTAACTACTGATTTGGATATTTTGAGTACGTCAGCTATCTCCCATGTGATAGAACATTGATTGATTTCAATTAATGTCTCAATTTGATCACTGTCAACCTCAACTGGTCTACCTGACCGTGGAGCATCATCTGGCGAGAAATCTCCAGCATAAAACTTTGCAAACCACTTTTTGACACATTCAGTAAGTCACAGCACCTACTGGTGCTCAAAAATGCTTGTTGAATGAATTAATAAATATCATGAATGTACACTTGGAGTAACAAACACCAAACATCTTCTACTTGAGTTCATCAGGTAGTGTAAGATTTTCCTTGCAATAATTTCCTAACTTACCCCTCCCTCTGAAAAGCTGTGACTTCCTCTTCTCACCTTTTGAGTAGCACCTCACTTAGAGCCGTGCTTCTTGCTCGTTTCCAGTGAATCCCTCTCAGTAACAGTCTGCATGTCACACATGACACCATTCACCACCTGTCCTCTCAAGGTTCACTCGACAGTGGATCCTAATACACTTTTCTACGAAGACCGGACTGTTCAGAATTCTGTTCTGAACTGTGAATCCTTTTTAGAAAGGCATTGTAATGGAGTTGGCATCCAGGATGCAGTAATTTGGCATCCTGAGCATAGTACTTAAAGAGTACACATTTGGGTCCATAAACCATGGTGGCGGATTCTGGCCCTGCCATTTACTGCCTTTGTTAGTTTTTCTTCCTCAGACTCAGTTACCTCTGTAAAAATGTAATGGTAGTATCTATTATAGAGAGCCAAGGTTGAATAGATAAGGTATGCAAAACTCTTAAGGTTAGAGCAGGGTGTTTTAGCGCTCCATAAATAGCAGTTATTACCCAAATGGACTCTTTCATTTGCTGTGCTATTGCCCCAGTCTCCTGGCTGGGAGTATAGTTACAGTCCTTCCACTTTGTCTTTAACATACTGATTCTTTCATGGGTGAGGGGGAGTAAATAAAGAATCAAGGCTGCCCTCTTTGGAGAAAGGGAGAAGGGAAGAATTGGATTCTAAATGGGCATCTATTTGCAAAGCTGTGGTACGTAATAGTCAACAAAATCCTGAGATTTTTATGCTCTTATAAATACATTTTTAAATTTAAGTTTAACAATATTAAGTACATGTAAAATTGAATCATGTCATGAGTCACTTCAATTTTTGACAAGCTTCTTAGTTCAAAGCCCTCAGATACTTCCTGTAATCAAAACCCATTTTCAAATTCACAGGAAGATATTATCTAATGACCCACTCAGCCTCTTCATGTTCTTAATTCAGGGTCAGTTTCAATGGCCTGCCTCACATCAGCTGTCATTTTTGTGATCGAAATGCCACTTCACATTACAGTTGTCATTGGGACAGTTCTCATCTTCGGTTTCAATTCAATTTAATTCAAATCAGATTCATATGTCTTGGGACAATTGAATTCGCCTAAAATCTCCTCTGTTCAGATAAGGTTGTAACAACTACTCCTGCTGATGCCACTCAACTTCCGGGTACCTTCTAAAGCCCTAGTGCTCCCTGGGAGGCCCCTGGATCTGATAACAAGGTCATGTGTTTCTGCCACTGACGTGGGCCCAGGCCTGCGCTGGAAACAGCCCGGCCAGCCTTGTGGCCACCAGTGCTCAAACACCATTGCCGTCTGTCTACAGTCTTGATGCCGCGGTCTCCACCACCCCATCCCACTACCAGGTTCCTCCTGGGTCAGGATAGAAAACTATTTCCTTACACCTCATTTAACAGAAATCTTGACTGAGAAACAGCAGATTAGGCGATAAGAGTTTGGAAATGTGTTGTAATTTGCTTAATTTGGTTTTGCTTGGTTGGCTGAGTTTGTCCAGTCTTCTTTCCCCAAGACTAACAGAGGGGTTGCGTCACAGCACAGTTCACCCAGCCATCCTCGACATTGCCCTTCTCCTGGAACAGCTGGACAACTTTCCTCACACCTGGCTTGTATACCCGGCTTTCCCTAGGAGAGCTTTGTTTTCAAGAACAGTCTCTCACAAGAGAGGTGTGGTAGAGATGGCCCCTGCATTTCACCAGACATGTTGAAACTCTATTACCTCATCATCTCCTGGCTGGCAGACTGCAGTCTAGTGTAAGAAAACAAAGGATCCTGGGACCAGGCAGTATCAGGGCCCAGAAAGCTTACTCAGCTAAAGGAGGGGGAGACCAACAGTGTACTCCACAGTGCCTGGGGGCTGAGCTTGACTCCCTCTAACGCCACACAAGGAAACTCACTAAGTGAGCGAAGCCCAGCTGTGGAGGTCAGGTTGGAGCTTTACTACAATTTGGCCATTGGCAGCGTGGCCTCTGCTGATGGTATCACTGGGCATGGGGACTGGTGAAAGACTGTCTGAGGTTATAGCCCAGCCCTCTCAGCAGACTTCAGGTAAGGCCATAACAAATCCAAAAAAGAGGTAGTCTCTAAGGCTTTGGCATTTGGGGAGAGCTCTACCCCAAAAGCAGTATGAAGGGACTGCTCTGATGGAGAGGTGAGATTAAGGTCAGAACAGAGAAGAGTGGGGTTGTACATAGAACTGTGGGCAAATGAAGTACACATGCAGGTCACTAGCCAGGGGAGTCCAGAGAAATGGAAAATAAAGTAGGAACCCATAGGTGGGGCATGGAGCTGGCTGCACACTGCTAGATTGGACTAGAGTGTTCAGGTTACCTCGTCTGCCTAGAAGGCCAGGGCAGAAGCTCAGGTGTGCAGACTGGACTTACAGAGTGAGGTTAGGGGTCATGTCACTGTTAAAGCTTAGGCTTTGAAGTTAGAGGTCTTGGGTGCAAATTACAGCTCTGACAGTAACAGTGTGGCTTTGGAAAAATTAATCTTTCTACTCTCTCTGTATATTCCATAAAGAACCTTGTGGGATTCCTGTAAGGTGAAAAGTTTATATCATAGTGCTGAGCACACAACAGGTACTCAAAAGCTGAAGGAAAGTGTCACAGCTGTCTAACAGCAGGGTCACTAATTCGGGATCACATTCATTGGTGGCACTGAGCCTGTTGACACTCTGCCTTCCCTGATGAGGAAGGACTCAGACTGGCACCCCGGGCCCACAGGGGTGGGTCTCCCAGCTGAGAGAAGAGGCCCTGGGGAGCAAGGCCTGTGTGGGTGGTGGGTTGGGAAGTAAAGGCATTTGGAGGGTATTCCAGAGCATCTGCTGGTCTGGGAGAGTTGTATTTGAATCACAACATAAGGTAAATATTCATTCACACTTTCCGCCTAGACTCAGAAAGGAACATACCCTTTCCCAGGGGTATGGGTGTGCCCACCCCCACACACTGGCTTCAAGGCCAAGGGTCACAATCAGACATGGCTTTCCCTCTACAGCACACGCTCTGGCTTGCATTACTTTCTCTAGTAGCTTAGCATGTGAACAATTGCTCTTCGCAATTCTGTTTATGTATTCCAGTTTGAGAATGTCTGTGGCTCCCATAGTTTATATGTTATGGCTGTTTTGTGTTACTGCTATGTCCACGGAAGTGGCCCTGACTTTTGTTCTCTCTGTGACTGCAGCTTTAACAGTGCCCTAACTCTCTACTGGAAAGTGTCCTGAGTTTACAAATTTAGTTGACCTCAGGGCTGAGGGTGAAACAACAGATCGTGCTGCTCTAACTCCAGGCTCCACCAAAAGCCTGTCCTTCAGAGACTGGAAACAAGGAAGGGAGCTTGCTCCACTCAGACCCCCTTTCGCCTCCCCAGCCTCACCTCTGACAACTCCGCCCTCACCGAAATTCTGACACTTCCAGTGCGCCACCTGCCATTTCCTGTCTCAGCGCCTTTGCACAGGCTCTTCCTCTGCCCGAAGGGGCCCTCCCTCCCTCCTTCCCTCCTGAGGAACTCCCCTTCAGCCTAATGCTCCAGCTCCAGCCTCATCTTTTCTTTGGCTCATTCAATTGTTTTTGGTTTTTTAGATTCTTCCACATATAAATGAAACCACATGGTATTTGCCTTTGTGTCTGACTTATTTCACTCAGCAAAATACCCTCTGGGTCTATCTATGTTGTCGCAAATGGCAAGCTTTTATTCTGTTTTATCACTGAGTAATATTTCACTGTATATATGTACCACATCTTCTTTATTCACCCGTCTATTCATGGGCACCTAAGTTGCTTCAGTATTTTGGCTGTTGTAAATAATACCACAATGAAGATAGAGGTACACATCCATATCTTTTTAAATTAGTGTTTTTATTTTCTTCAGATAGATATCCAGAAGTAGAGTTTCTGGGTCACATGGCAGTTCTGTTTTTAGTTTTTTAAGGAATCTGCATCCTGCTGTCCGCAGTGGCTGCGCCAGTTTGCAGTCCCACCAGCAGTGCACACGGGTCGCCTTTCCCCGCGTCCTCGCTGGTGCATCATTTGTTGACTTTTTGTCAGTAGCTGTTCTGACTGCTGGGAGGTGGTACCTCGCGGTGGTTTTGACTTGGTTTCTTTGCAGACTCAGAAACAAAAATCAAAGTGATGATTGCCAGAGGGGAGAGTGGGGCTGAGGCCGGGGAAAAGGTGAAGAACAATGTAACTGATAATACTGTGTAAGTTTCTGTGGTGACAGACAGCTACTAGATTAGAGCAGTAATCACATGGTAAGGCATATAAATGTCTAATCACTATAATGTACACCAAAAATTAATGTAATATTGTATGCCAACTATTCTTAAACTTAAAAAGATTTTAAAAAACTTATCGTTCAGCATCCTTTCTGTAGACTTCCTCAGTCCCCGGGAAGTTTGTCCCTCCCTCCTCATTGCTCTTACGGATGTTAGTGTACACCTGCGTTGTTCAGCTCCTCATGTTGTGATTCTCCCTCCATCAACCCCTTGAAATCAGAGCGTGTGTCTCGCTCATGGAAACGTGTCCCCGTATCCAGCACAGTGCCTGGCACATACAGATACATGGACGAAAACCAAAGCATTCCTTTTGTCTCTTCTTCCTACAGAAACGATGACTTTGGTGAGAGGACTGCTTTGCTGGGGCACAGTGAGACAGCCATCTTACAAAGACCTTAAGTAACGCTCCCTACCCAACAACACCCAGACGGCTCCAGTGGCCAAATGCTCAGCTGTAACCACAGCAATAACTGGCCTTCTTTCCAGACGGGTTTGGTGAACACGAATGGTCCAGCTGTCTGCGGGTGGTGTGCTGTAGGGGAAGCACATCTCTCATGGATGAGAACCAACATCAGACTATGGAAGAAACCAACCGACACAGAAGACCGAGAGCACCCTGAGTACCAGGACTCTTAGTGATGGGGTCACAGCATCTGCCCTGGGAACATCATACCCACATGATGTTATTTGCTCGAACGCCCTGGAAGGACAGAATATTTTAAAATATATCCAGGTGCTAAATAGGCAGCAGATTTAATTCACCTTTGAGCTAACAACTGTCTCCAGAAAATAATTTCACCTAGGAAGTGCTCCAGCTTTGCAAGGAATAGCCTCAGGAGTATAATAGGATAAGCAGTCTGTTTCCCAGAAGAAAATCTCCTGCAAGGAGGGCAAGTTCACAGCAGATTCACTGCCCCCCTCCAGGCACATGGCAGTGAGTACCAGTGGATCACGGCCCTCTCTCCTGCTAAACCCAGATTCCGAGGGGTCAGAATCCCCAACACTGTCTTCTGGATGGCCAGCAGCCACTTCCTTCCACCTGGTGTTGGCATTAGAAAGAAAGCTCATTGTCATTCCTGTTAAAGGGGCATCCATCTCAGTGGTGTAAACATTCTGAAATACCCTTTCCCAGGCACACTTGTCCACTGAGGGCACAGCCTCAGAGACAGAGGTAGCATTGTGTGAGCTGAGTTCATAGAGAGATAGTACAGTGGTCCCCTGACTGAAGGCACAGCTTTTGGGCCTTCTTGGCCTGAGTGCCTTCTGGGGTATTTCCATATGCAACAGCCCAGAGGCGTAGCCTTTGGTAGCCACAGACGGGTTTCCTTTTCACTTCCAGACACGTATTATCACTTTCATAGCACTTGGGGATAGAAATACCTACAAGAGTGAAGGTCAAGGGCTCTCCCCGGTATCTCATTCATTACTCAACTTCCTCGGTGACCGTATCAGCCAACCCACTGCCAGCTGCGTTTCCTCATATTCATTGCTTCCGCCATCATATTAATGAAACCAAAGGCCTCGGCGGGCCCTGGGAGGGGAGGTCCTCTCTCTCCCATGATAGATGCAAGGTACTCCATCCTCACGTTTTCACCTCTTCTCTAAGATAACATTTCCCTTTTCCTACAAGCCCTTTGCAGCAGAATCCAGAGTTGGATTGTAGTTTACTTTCCTGGGAAGCTCATTATCTTCATTTGAATTAACATTTCAGTGTGGGACTAATTGCGTGGAAACAGAATCACCACATGTCTTCAGAAAGTTAGCGTTGCCACAACTGCCTGGTATTAGAAACTACCTTTGCTCTGGCCAGTGCAGCTTAATTAGTTGGAGCACCATCCCATTAACCAAAGGGTCGTGGGCTGGATTCTCAGTCAGGGCACGTGCCTGGGTTGCAGGTTCGTCCCTGGTCAGTGCAGGTATGAGAGGCAACCGATCCGTGGTTCTCTCTCGCATCAATGTTTTTCTCCCTCTTTCCCTCCCCACCCGCTCTTTCTAAAATTTACATCTTGTCCTGGCAGAGGGGATTTTTTAAGAAAAGAAACTACCCTGATGCCAGATCTAAAAAGGATGGAGGCTGTTGGCTGTACGAGTCATTATGACCACACTCCAGCGTCACATGTTCCCAGCCTGCCCAATTCATTTCTGTCTCTAATTGGCTTTCAACCTCCAGGACCCAAAGAGGATCCAAGTTTCTGCCTATGTCTGATGACATGAGAAGAATGCAACTTTCTTTGCCAGCTTTCTCTGCCCATTCCTCCCCATTCCGACATCCATCACCATATCAGTGTTTAGGACCAAAACATGGAAGACTAGTGCCAGCTGGATAGTCAGCAGAAATGTTTTCTCCAGAGCCAGGCAGATAAGCCCAGAGGAATGGTCCCAGATTAACCAGACTGGCCCAGAGAGATATCAGGCAGCCATCCCAATAAACATTGACATGTCCTTGGCACTGGGAGCCCAGGTAGGAGATCCAGTGGCAGCTGTGCCTGTTGCTCCCCCCTCACGATCCTCCTGCCCAGTGAGCTAGCAGCCCTGGGGTACTGATGAGCATGCTTCCGGTTTGTTGGTATGAAACAGAAGGTGGCTCTGTAGGGGCCAGCAGGCAAAGAGGCCTGCCCACGTAGCAGCAGGTGGCTTTGTATCTGGAAAGCTTTGCCTAGCCAGTCCAGCTGTGGCCAGAGGCCAGTTATAAATTTGAACTCCCTTGGCCCATCTGTAAGTCTGCCTTTGTTCTCTTGCATTCTGTTTGTTTCCCTTTAGTTTCCTAGTAAATGTTCCTTTTGAAAAATTCCAACCTTGTCTCATTGAACTTGTGGGGAAGGGTATTCTCCAGTGGCTTTTCCAGGATGGAGAAGGAAATTAAAGTACCTTGAAAAAAATAAAGATGGCAGTGGAAAGGGAAACATTGGTTAGATCTTAGGGAGAGGCCTTGGGGAAAGCTGATTCCAAGACAGGGAATTCCCACCCACCTGGCACTGATTATCAGCATCTTCCTGGCCAGTGAACGGGGCTCATCCAGCAGGTGACATGATGTCCAGGAAGCATACTGGTGTGTGACCATGGGAGGGGAGGGAAGGGAAAGCAGTGGTTTCTATGATGTGCGTGTTTCCAAAATGTTCCAGTGATCATGACTCTATAAGTGGAATGATTTAGTCCTCATGGCCATTATTAGAATTGCTTTTCATAGGAGAGAACAAGTCACACTTGCGTACATAAACCAAGAAGATAGATTTGGAAAATGTCTTGCTGTCTTCATGGCCATTCTGTCCTGTGATAGTGTTCCAGTTCTCTATCGCTGCATGATGAAGCACCACAAATATTTGTGGTTTATATAGAAGGTTCTTATCTCCCACGATTATGTGGGTGATTGCTGTCTCCCGGAGTCTCCTGGCTGCTTTCAGATGGCAGTGGAGTCTGGTATCCTCTGAATGGCTGACCGGGTGGGAGCTCCATGAGGGATGTGCTGCTCACATGTCTGGCCTCCGCCGGCAGGACTGGAACAGGTGGAGGCTGGTTGGGCGTCTGTCAGTAGTCTCTCCACCTAGTTGGCTTGTGCTTCCTCACAATGCGAAGGTCTCAAAGTAGTCAGACTTCTGACAGAGAAACTGGCTTCCCCCAGAACTAACATTGCAAGAGGACCCAATAGATGCTGCAGGGTTCTTCTAATACCCTCTGAAGTAACTCAGTCATCCCCCAGCTCATATTATTGGTCAAGAGCAAATCATAGGCCAACCGAGACTCAAGGGGAAGGGATTACACAAGAATGGAATACAAGAAGGTGTGGCTCATCAGGGCCACTTTGGAGATAGTGGGGATGGAAGTTGGAGGGGAAGGTGCCACTAAATCAGAGGGCTTCCTGGGTAGTTGTCACTTTAAAAGCACATGCAATACTTAACATGCACGAGGGTGGATTAAGAGGTGAGTAATAAGGGATAGAGGGTGGGGAAGGGATATCCATGGGCACTTAAGTAGAGCAAAGCTAAAGAAAGGCGACTGGTTATGATGATTATAGAGCTTATGAAGTCACAAGAAACCCTGGAGGAAAGCCACAGTTGTCATTCTATGGACTGCTCCAATGCCTGAGTTGGATGCTTTCCCCCGCCTCATCTTGGAGCCAAAGTAAAAGTTCAAACAAGACATTCCCATTTTTGGAAACATGGTGATTAAAATGCTAAGTATGCTAAGTGGAGATTCTTTTTTTTCTGAAGAGTTCAGAAAGAATTATTACAGCTAATTAAGAGACAAGGATTTTATCAAGTCTAGTTGGGATGAACATAATTCTGGCAGTTGTCTGCTTGCATGAGGTCCCCACATCACTAGAGTTGCCATGGTGCCTTCTCTAGTCAGTCTGTCTGTCTGTCTGTCTGTCTCTCTCTCTCGTAGGAGTCCTGCTATATGGAATAGCCCACTGATCTTCCCCCTACCCTGGCCTCCATTTAACTCAGCCACTTAGCTAGGACTTTCAAAGTAAAGTTAAAGTGATTCAACAAACTGAGAAAAGGACATAAAACATAGGTGTGCAAATGGCCACAGACAGTGTCTACACCCTGTATGTGGATCCTGGAAATGCTGCAAGCCGTTCAGCTGCCCTTGGCCACTTGTTCCACTGGTGGCCATTGAGGACTGTTGGGAGTATCCAGCATGGAAGTGCCCTGGAATTACCACTACACTCCAGCCAGAGAGACCAGCCTTGCCTTTACTGTCCCATTCTAGTTCCCTGCAAAGAGTATCTCTCTCATACACAGGGTTCCCAAGCTGGTTGCTGACATGATGCACAGCCAGAGGCTATGAGAGGCCAGTGAGGTTTTTCTGAGACTGAGATTTTCTCACTGATGGGCCTTCTGACTCTTTATTCCTCCAATCCTCTCTCTGGACCAAAGAGAGGTGATCCCCTCAATAACCTTTAACAATCATCTGCAATTAATTCCCTAGTCATAGACCCAGCATTTCCAGCCACAGAGGCTCAACTTGGGACCTTATCTCCTAAACCAGACAGGAATCAGCAGCAGTGCTCAGAGAATTGTAGTGAGTCTCTAAGATGCCCTTTCTGGAGAAGAGGCCCCAGTGAAGGGGGCCCTTTGTTACAGCACATGCTATCCCACCTTCATCCAACTTCATGTGAAGTAGGCTGACCTTCATGGAAGAAGTGAAATAGTAAAACTAAGAAAAAGAAAATGATCAGAGGGAAAAACTGCCTCACCAACTGAGAAGCATCCCAGGAAGATCTGTAGGGTAACTCCAAGGAAAACAAGAAGAAGAGAGGGTCCACTGGCATTCCAGGGGCTGCGGAAGGTGAGGCTTGGTCCTCAGCTCCCCTCTAAGCCCCAAAGGAAGGCAAACAGAAGCTCTGAGCCATGCCAGGGGCCTGCCTCCAGTGGCGATGATGTCGGGTGTAAAGCTCCCTTTGGTCTGTCTCCTGAGAAGTCAGACCCAGGCTCTCCAAGGATCATGGCAGGATCCACTTCTTCCTTCTTCCACTCAAAAGGCTCACTTGTCACTTGCTGCCCGAACTCTCTGAGCATATGGGCTGCAAAATTAAGCCAGCAGTATAATCACCTCTGTCCTCACACCCCCTGGTGTCTTTTCACCGTGTCCAGGAGCTCTGGGTCTGGGAAGGACCAAGAATCAAGTTGGAAGATGGCCCCCAAGGCCTCAGAGGATCAGGAGCCAGGTGTGAGGTCCAGTCACCTTGGTTAAGTCTTAATGGCCTCAGGGTCCCCCAGTTCAGCCACAGGCCAGCTGATGATTCTCATGTACCTTTTCCTGATTGGGAGAAGAACAGGGCAAAGGCACCTGGGCCACAGAGGCTGCTGTTCCCTTATGTCATTGTTGCTGCCTCCCAAAGTCTGTGTAAGTTAAGAGTTCTTCTCAAAGGCTGAGTGGACATTGCCAGACAGTTAAAAAAGTATATTTATCAATATAAAAGTAATTGATAATTAACAAAATGCCATTATATAGTTTATAATACATGGTACTGTTTTTATCTTTTTTTTTTGCAAAGTCAACTTGTGATTCCAAAGAGTAAAGTTAGTTTTTTAAAGAGGTAATATCCTCATGACTCAATACTAAATTTATTATAGTTATTATTTCAATAATTATTCTTTGCATTAAAGCTATTTCTAGCCCTGGTCAGGTAGCCCAGTTGGTTAGAGAGTCATCCCATATGTCAAAGTTGCGGGTTCAATCCCCAGTCAGGGTACATACAAGAATCAACCAATGAATGCATGAATAAGTGGAACAACAAATCGATGTCTCTCCTCCTCCTCTAAAATCAATAAATTAAAAAACTTTCTACACCAACATATGACAGTAATATTCACAGTTTTTCCTACCAAGTGAACATCAACTCCAAGACTCTGGGTTTTTGACAATTTAGATAAAGTTTTTCTTGCATGGTGACAGTATTCAGATTCAAATTCATCAAAGAAAAACGACCTCTCTAATTCACCAAACTCAAAGCTTTTAATAATAATAAACTCACTTATTCAAATACCTGAAGATACTGTATTAAGGGCTTTAGAGATGAGTTTATGGGCTTTATACACTGGTAAGTAAACCTTTTAGAAACAAGTTTTGCCCTCATCTCAGAAAAATAATTATTTTCTAAACTATATTTTTCCCCTCAAGGCATTTTGGAAGTAAATTAAAATTTGAAGTCTAAGATAAAGTTTCAAATTGCACAAGCAAGTGTAAGCTAGATAAGAACTCAAAATAAAAGCATTTCCATCAACTGCACATTTCTTAAAGAAAGCAAACTGCATTCCCCTCACCTGCGTGTCCACAGGCTCAGATCAGAATTTTGTTGAGCCTCTCAGGGCTGCTGGATCCAGCCGGTCTCATGAACTTAGATAAGCAGCAAATCTGCACTTTGACCCTTAATACTGCATTATGGTCAGTATTTTAAAATTGTGTTTTCTGGCTGGAAAGAGTGAAGGTTTTACATAAAGGTTTTATTGAGAGTAAGACCCAGGAAGCCCTGGGCCAAGCCCCCTGAACTGCAGTATCTGAGCCACCTCATAAGATGCAAGTAGAGCAGCTCCGTGCTGTTTTCCAAGTTAGAACACCTGGGGTTGAAAGTACTTCAACCAAAGTAAATATTTTTCTAAAACATGTGTTGGTTTTACTTCATTCTCTCTACAAAGTCTGTCCCACTGTCTTGGTCGGCACTGATAAGTTTCGAAAGAATTGTGTTGGTTTGAGTGTAAGTAACAAGAAGACATTTGAACTTTTCCTCCCCCCTGTTTTCCACACTTGAAACCTACAGGAAACTGCCTGCCAGCCTGGCCTGCCAGGGCAGATCGGGCTTCCGGGTCAAGATAACACCATTTGGGCAGCAATTATCACTTCATTTTGGTTGTCCCAACTTTAAAAGGTGGGCTTTTCTCTCCCCCCACCACTTAAAAGGAAATCAAAGCAAAGGAAGATGGATCTACTTCACCAGATGGAATAAAAACAAGGACAGCCTGTGCGCATGCAGGCAGGGGAGGGGAAGCCACCCTGGAGCCACCCAAATGCAGCATTCTTCACTTTTTCCTGCATGTGAAACCTTACTGATCTTGAATTTGTAAGGGACATAAAGATAGAAGTTCAAAAAACATAAGCAATGGACTCAGAGAAAACCCAAGGGGTAGTAGCTATGTCTGTGACTTTAAAGAGTCCCATAAAAGCAGAAAAGTAATTAAGTATTCAAATGCTTATTATATCTGGTAAACCAAATATTAACATTTGACTTTATGTTAATCCCAGCAGCTCATGTTAAAATAAAATGTGGCTGTTATGGGTCCCTCCTTAAAGATTGTTCTGCCCTGGCTGGTATACCTCAGTGAATTGAGCACGGGCCTGTGAAGTAAAGGGTCGCCCGTTCGATTCC